ACCATAACTTTTCTCAAAGCCACTCAACGTGACATTCTTTTCACGCTCCACTTTCCGTGTAGCAGCTCTCCAAATTCACAACATCATTTTACACACAGGTTCTTCATATGCCCTGTTAATCTTGATTTAACCACATATTTTCACAATAATACATATGGCTGTGACAGAGCGAAAGGGGAGAGGTGGGGGTGTGAACAGAAATGCTCCATTTCCCAAGGACTTGTTTTTTCAAAACAGCTCCAAACGTCTGCACTGAACTATGTGGAGGATTTTTTCTTTTTTTTTCTTTTTACTGTTTAAAGTAATGCTAGTTCCTCTGCCCGGAAATATTCTGCAAGTGGATCTAGAATTTCTAATAATTGGAAACTGTGTGCTCCGAGCTCTGACTGCAGATGTTTTTGAGTATTTCAGCTCAGTCTTATTTACCTTCATGGATTCCCAAAGCTCATTTCGTTTTTGTAAGGGGTCAGTTATGTTGTTTTCTAGGTCAAAATCGTACTCATATTGGAAATTACATTCATGATGTCATATCACATTTCAGGTTTTTTGTTTTTTTTAGCCATGTCTTGTGTCCTCAGTCATAATTACTGTTTCTCAGTGTTAGTTCTCAGTGTCCTGGAATCTGTCTATCTTGGCAGTCACACTAATTAAGATATTTTTTTAATCAAATTAAGACTTTCCTGGTTCAAAGAGTAGTTTATTTTGGTTTAAAACACTTTTTCACTTTCTTACTGAGAGTCAAATATCAGCAGTAGGCTATCACCCTGACGTCTGTCCATTAAGTATAAGACTAGTTAGCTTAGCTTTGCATTTAATCAGTTAATTGAAGTGTATACACATGCTCTTGTAGTTTTACAGATCCTCATGTGTCATGCTTTTTCCTAGTCTTGTCATAGTTTTTTTAACACCTAGATGTCAAACTAGTCAGAAATTGACTGTTTCCTCCCTGTTTCAGAAGTTAAGCTGCTATTTAGCTTCATGCGTTGACTGTACAGACATGTAGCTTAATATTTACAAACTTGAGAGTGCTAGCAAACATGAAATCTAACTCAAGAAAGCACATAAGCATGTCACCAGAATAACAAAATTCTAATTGAAAGAACACAGAGTGAGAAATGAGCGAGGGGATGGAAAGTGAGTGGGGAAAGGTGTAGAAAGCGCTGGAAATAAAAAAAAAAACATGAAAGCAGGATTTGAGGGGAACTCAGAGTGCACAGGAGCTGATATAAACAGACTTTAACAAGCACAGATGCCTCCTTTTTGTAGAGAAACAGGTACTGTTGCTTGTTAAAAACACCAAAAGCAAATATAGAACAGATCAGCCTGAATGAGTCAGTGTGGTTTATTGTGTGCATGTGTGTGTTTGACTTAATAAACCTACACATCTGGGCCTGTTTGTCACTTCATGAGAACAATAGAGAGCCGGGCTGCACTCATTAAAGCTGAGGAGTGTGGCTTAGTGATGATAGTTGGAATAATATATTTCCTGCATTATAATGCCTGAGTAATGACACACTGTGATTAGAGCATATGACTCTCATTGCAGCAGCCTGCAGCAGTGTTAGCATGCACGGTATACAACAACTCCTCAGGCGTCAGCTACAACTGCAAGGTCAATGACTTGTCTGTGTGTATTTGAACATAAGTAGTACACGTTGTTTGGTATTTTCTATTCTCTGGAGTGTATGTTTCTCTGTGCTATAGGTTGTGTTATATCTTTGCTGTCATCTTTATTGCAGAGGATGTGGAGGTACTTTTTTTTCAAACCTCCAAGCACAGCTTATCTCTCGCTGTAGTTAGTAAGTGAAGTTGCTGCTGTTCCCGTGAATACGCAGAACTCTTCACTCTGTTTTTGAGGTTACAATAGTTTAAATCTGTCATCTTGTTGCTGTGACCGTCAAAACCACAGAAACCAGGGCATCAAAGAGGAACTTGTTCACCTCTAACCCAGTGAAGAAAATCAGATCAAAAAAGAGAAGGTGCAGTTAAAATATACTTTGCAAAAACAAAAGGGTTGAAGCACTTCCAAGACTCAAAATGAGTTTTTTTTAAGCTGCTATTTGTATTGGACTAAATGAAAACATAAAAATCACCAAAAACTCCCTCTAATAGCTTTATTGTCAAGGCATGGTCATGTTAGACCTTTATGTTACACGTCAGCTGATACTGAGAAAAGCCTGTAAATGAGGAAATGGTTAGTAGCAGTGTGTCACTGTCTATTCACAAAAGTTTGCTAAGAAGTCAGAAAAATTCCAAGAAAACTCTTTTTATGTCATCAAGACTGAACATTTTGCTGTTTTCTTAAGGTCTAACATGACAGTGAGGTGACAAGAACGGCATCCAAAAAGGTTTCTCCTGATTTCTCAGACAGTTTTTGCAACAAATCGTGTTCTTTGTCACAAGCTCAATGCCGCTGGATAGCGACAGCCTGTGGTGCAGGACTGTCACAGAAAGAGAAAGGACAACATTCAGAGGGATTTAACTGATTTCTTCAAACTAAGAATAACGATTGGGAAGAGATTGAGTGAGAGAGAATACTCAAAGGGTTATCGAGACTTTTAAGAAAACTGCAGGAAAAGAAGTGTGTCGTTCTGAGCCTCTTATGTTTTTGTTTTTGAGGCAGCTTCTTTTCCATTTTCACCTTCTCCTCCCCTCTCTCTCTCTCTGCCTGAATAATGTCTGCTCTTGTCACACTCTGCACAAAGAGACACACACACAGACACAAAGACACACACATGCAGCCTTTTCCATCAATCTTTCTCTTCCTCTGACAAAAACTTCCTGCAGAATCTTTTTCTCTCCATCACAAGCCATCTGTTGTCACTCTTCCGCTCTACTCTTCCCTACTCTGTCTTCCTCCCTCCTTACTCACCCAAACCCTCACCCGCTTTCATCTCCACTTCTTCTCTACCTCCCCATACTTTCCCTCCTCTCACCCTTTAGCTCACCCTCCCACTAGCAGATTTTTCTAAAAACAGAACCCTCTTTCACTACTACTTAGCTGCGTCACTTCCTTTACCCCCTACTCATACACACATTACACACACACACACACACACACACACACACACACACACACACACACACACACACACACACACACATGCTTCCCCTTTCGCCCTCCTCATTTCCTCTCTCCCTCTCCTGGTTCCCCTCTTGCTTCTGTGAAACAGTAAAAAAAACATGTACACACAGCCAATCATACTTGTGGTGGGCCTCAGGCGCAGTTTGTTATGACAAACACACCTAACAGATAATAGGATGTGTCACACTCAGTCTGGCTCACTCCCTCAATCGCACACACACACACACACACACATACATGTATGGGCAAAGTCCTGCATTCATCAGAACATAAACCTATATTTTTAAGCAAATGTGGGCCGACAATCTTCTACAGGAGCAAACAAGGCTGCAAGGGAGGATAATGTCGGGTAAATATGTAACCTTATGAGTCAGGCTCAGCCATCACAGGACCACTATTAGCTTCTGGCACACACACACACACACACACACACACACACACATACACACACACACAGCAAGTATTCTTCCAGCTACTGAATCTGTTTTAACATGGGTATTACCACATACACAGGCACAGAAAGAAGGAGAGACAGACAGACATAGAGAGAGAGAGAGGGATGAAAGAGGGTGAGGCCGGCGGCCAAATTATCTTAACAGATGAAAGTCAAGAGCCCAAGAGTGCCAACCTGGACCTGGCCTCAAGAGTATACTTCCACTCGACAGAAGAGCTAGTTGTGGAAATAACTTTAGAGAGGGAAAATGTGTGTAGATGCGTGTTACTTCAATCTTATCATCTCCTCCTCCGCTCTCACTTGAAACAGCTTGAAGGGGTCTGCTGGCATTAATAAACCCTCCCAAATGTCACTCTGGGTATTTTTGTCCCCATGATCAGATCTTAAAAAAGGGACACTGGTGTCCCTTTATAAGTTTGGGTTATGTTATTTATATCTCCTGCCTGTCGCCCCATGCCTCATGTGTGATATCTCAGAAATGGTTGATGTATTTTAAAGAAACCCTGAACATAAATGATACTTTCTCAGAACTGCTGTTTTATTAAGACTCTATGGAAGTATCTATTTTTTGAGCTTGTGGTTGAAAGAGAAAATTCATTGATGTTGGAAAATATTAAAGATGGCACTGAATGGTTTGTGCATCTGATATATAAAAAGTTATTATCCTAGATTTAAAAAAAAGACAGAATATAAACAATAAATTACTTAAAAGATAAGTTGGATGTAACCTGATGTGTTTAAACTCTTTTTCCACAACATTCCCTCTCAATTTCACATTAAATTCAGTGAAATCAAGTGAAACATTCCTGTCTGAGTGAGGGTGACCTTACTTTCTCACTTGGCGAGTTGGCCAATCACAGGCCTGTTTGGGTCTCCGGTTGCTCTCCTTGGCAGCACGTACGAAAAACTTTACTACGGATCACACTCGCACTGAGTGGCAGTAAGAGGTATGAAGCAGGTTGCGACCCCAATCATCTCTGCAAAGCCCCCGAGGCCAGACGTTAAATCAGTACACACACAAACACACACAGGTACGCAGACATATTCATACCCATACATATGTGCAAACAGAAGCAAAAGGTTCTGAACAAACACGTGAAGAAGGGCAGGTGTATGGCTTCACAAGCTATAGGTGTGTATTTTGGTTGTGTACCAGGAAACACAATCGCCTTGGAGGCACTTGCAGTCAGTTTCCGTCCGAGTGCTCGTAGACAAGCAGCCAGTGTCAGGGCAGGGGAATGATCTACCTATCAAATACACTCTGCTGACCTTCAACTCTTCCGTTTATGGCCCCTTAACTGCTCCCTTCAACACAAGCTGTGAGTTTAAATCAAGCTTGACTGCGGGCTGAATAATGCAGAGACGATCAAAGGATAAACACACTGAGACGCTGCTTATTAAAAGGGTGTTTGATCAGAAAAAAAGAGTTTAATATTTCTCTTGCTTCTGGGGCTTTCTTACCTGCGAGAAGCACCTGCGGGATTCCTTCTCTGGACCAGAGCATCTGTAAACCTGTGGAGTTCCTCTTCCTCCATCCCTGCCTGATTCGTCCCCCAGGTGTTGGGTGTGCTGGTGCTGCAGCGGGTAGATGTTCCCTGCGGCTGGTACCTGGTGGTTGAAGCCTGGGTGGAGCTCCCTGTCTCTGTGCGTAACAGCAGAGCGATGGAGTGATGTGGAAAAAGGCGAGGCGGCAGGAGAGTTAGGGCGCAAGAGGGGAGAGATGGGAGGAGGCGGGGCGGTGACTGAGTGCCAGTTGAAGCGGTGACGGCTGGATGGGAGAGACAGCGATGGGGACGAGGAGCGGGAGATGGAGTGAAAGGGCGGGGTTCGCGGCCTGCTGTGCTCTGTGTGAGCCTGTGCGGGTCTAACAAAGTGGCGATGGGGGATGCTGGCTGTGGTCGTGGTCGTTGTGGGGGGTTCCTCAGCAGCAGGTCCCTCAGTGATCTCCTCCTCCGCACTCCTCCTGGCCTCCCTGTCCTCTCTACTTCTCTTATTCTCCTCCTCCTCTCTCCTGTTCTCTGTGGTGTCTTCACGTGTGGCCAGTTCAGGTCCTGATGTTGCAACTGCAGTTCCATTAGCAGTGTGGCGAGCCTGCCGGTTAGGACGATGAAGAGGCAGAGAGAACGGGACTCTGCCGTACCCAAACTGACCCGGACGGATGTTGGAAGATCTGTATAAAAAAACATGGAGCATTGAGACAGAAATATTTACAGATGGGCGACAAAGGAAACACAGGCAGAGACATGGATAAGGAGAGAAACCATGGGGGAAAAAACAGCTTATGTTGGCTGTTGAACACGATTATAACCGATATGAAGCCAGCACTCTGTGGTGAGAGTAATGCAGTGTCTGTTTGTGTGACAAAAACCAGGAGTAATGATGTAATGACGCAGCAGATACCAGAGGCCCACATGGGCATAACTCAAGATACTGAAAGATCATAATTAACCCTCTCTAAGGTCTCAGCAAAGTCAGCACTTTACTGTAAATAACATCAACCGAATGCTTTCTCAACAGAGGAATCCACATGGCCTTTTTGTTGTGTGATCTCTTTGTTGCTAAGTCTGGGCTGTCTATGGTACATTTTAGCTTCTATTCTGCACTGAGGTTTCTGTGTTCAGATGTGGTGACTTTTCGCAGTTCATGCTGACTCTTTTGTTCTTCTGTTTATTCTAAACAAGCTGCTGTTGCTACTTACAGTGAGGTAAGACTCACTTCCTGTTAGATGGGGTCATTTTCCAGGAAAACATCGAATCTGAGTGCTAAGCAAAGCACATGTGGAAGTCTCCGTTGACTTTGAGTTGCTTAAATCAATGTCTCAGAATTAAAATAACATCTTTAGTAATTCATATTTTATGAGGCCAGTCATCACATTGATAATGTAATATTGACTGATTCTATTGGTATTACACACAAATAATGACTGATTGGGAAATTATTATACTGGTAAAATTTTGGGCAACTTAAAGAGTAAGGAAGGAAAAGTTTGAGATAGAAATTGACACAAAACTCTTTACCGCTTTTAATCGGGATGTCATCTTTCTTTGCCTGTGCAGCTGTCCAAAGGTCTGGAAATTTCCACTTTTCAAGAACATTATTCATCCTAGTTGGCTTAAAATATATTGGAATTTTGAACATCCACATTTTTTCCTGACAATTGTTTGACTCGCTCTGCTTAGGATGATTGTGGGATCGATTCATAGCTCATCTGCCACAAATGAATGACATCTGTGCTGTCACATCTGCACAGACACTCTCTGCATATACAGTTATATATATATATATATTATGTGTGAGCTATAAATGCTTCATTTGCTTTGTCACACTCACCTCCTGGCTGGTAAACCCTCCCGATTGGGGGAGATCGACCTCCTGCTCCCGCCCCCTCCATTCCTGCCTGCTCCTGGATTGGTCGGTCTCCTGATGAGCCGTGCCGGGTGGTTGTAGCCATGTGACGGAGGCTGATATGGCGATCGGTAAACTGACATGTGGTCTTGATTGGTTGGGGAGAACTCTGACTGGTAAAAAGGAGGTGATGGATTGTCCTGTCCCAGCACAGGAGCTCCTCCTCCTACTCCTCCTCCTCCATCGTTGGAATCCCGGAACAGCGACAAACCTGGGTTGAGATTGGTGGGGTTCGGTTGGGCGTGATAAGATGGGCGTTGCCCAGGGTAACGAGGAGGGTAGTAGGGCCGCACAGGTGAGATGACTGGACCTCCAATGCCCCCAGGTACGTAGCCCGCCCAATTAGGTGTAGAGCGAGAGAGGGGAGGAGCTTGGGGAGGGGGAGGAGGTAAACACTTCCTGATCCTCTGTGACACGCCCACACCGCAGGTCTGAGAGCATTCAGACCACTCTCCCCAGATCGACCACACCCCCTCTATAGGCTCCGCCTCAAACACCTGTCTGGACCGTCTGCCTGTCACCTGTCAACCGCACACATAAACACAAATACATACACACAGATACATGAGAATTAGAGTATTATCAGGCAATGCTATCATTAAAGTTGTGGTTTACATCCACATCTGTTCAGCACAGTTTCATATAATACATGTAGAGAAAACTTTAAAGGAAATCCTTCTATCAATTCGTTTGGGATAAATCAATAGTTTCACCATTTCACCTTTACAATTCAATGACATATGTAGTTGTTAAAACATTTATTCAGAGGAGTACAGAATTATGATTGTGATTGGTCTTAAGGAAAATAAGAAGAATTGACACACACACATTGTCTGAAACATTGTTATTGTTGAAACAGAGGCAATAATAAACCAACAATTTTGTGTTTTGTATGGCCAAATTGTGTTTTGCATTATTTTTTTAAATAAAAAAACATACATCAACAACTAAATAACCTGCGAAAATACAAATTGTGACACATCAATACAATCTGACCAGATTTATTTTAATTAACTGTTGGCCAAGAAGAAACTCAAAAAAGGTTCCCAGAGGCTTCAGTGAAATCTTTTTTTTTTATTTATAGGTCAATTCAACAGTTCAAAACCCAACATTTGTCATTCACTAAACATGTTTAATGAAGAAGGTAAGAACATGTTAACATCAGAGAGACTATGAACCTCTGGATTTTGGCTTAAGAATTCAATCAATCAATCAATTTATCAACATTTCAGCTCTGCTTATCTTGCTCCCTATTAAAGGCTATTTTTGTAGTAATTACCAAGAATCCGATGTGCTACATTTTCCCCATCACTACCTGTCAGACCCCCTGACAACTAAAGAGAGATTTTTAACAAAAGGTCATCTGTTCATTAGGTAAGCGCTCCATCATCACCACCTTTCAGCGCTTAGCGGTACAAGAAATCTGTGTGAAGCCACAACCTGTACCTATTCAACTTTGTCTTACTTTTTTTTGTTAACCTAGAACCACAATAAAGTACTGATCAAATCAAATGAAATATCTAAAAAAGGGTTTTTCTCTACTAAACTGTTTGGAGTCTTTAATTTAATCCAGCAGTTGGAGCCAGAAAAGCATGACAAAGAGTTTCACTTTGATGAACTTTGATTCAAACCATCGTCCTCTGTTTATTTTATACCAGTCTAAAACTCAGGGTGAATAAAAGTGGGTTAAATCAAGTTAAGCTTCTTAAAAAGTGCTTCTGAATTTCATGCCCGACTGCTCTACAGCTGACGGAAACTCTGCTGTAAAAAGAGGTGAAAACTGCCAGCCTTGGCAATATTTTAAAGTACTACTTAACTTAGCGAAGACTTTGCCATTGCAAAATCAGAAATCTCTGTGCCAACTTATTTCTTCACAGTTCACTGATGAGCTGCCGTCTTGTGAGTTTCCTCCCTTCTGAGTCCAACATAAAAAACCTGAACTCCTTGTAGTTCACAGGGGTTTAGAAGAGACCCAGTCACCTGCCAGCAGCTCATGAGCAGATGGATAAAATCAGCGGAGTGTAGTTAGTGTGAAAGCGCAGCAGAGAGGACAAGATTGTGGCTAATCTGGCCGTGCTTGTGTGTTTGTATGTTGGGAGAGCTTGTATGTTAGTGCCAGGCTTGGCTTTGATGTGTTCCTCTGCGGCTGAAGATAAATGTTTCTCTTCTCATGTCATAAGTGAAGCGTTGGCCTGGTTGGCACAGCAGAGGACATTAGAGCTGAACAAAAGTTTCCATTCAGAAAGAAGCAAAACATAAATCTGAGCTCCACTTCACTCCCTCTCTCGCTCTGAGTGTGTAAATGTGTTTGTACATGGGCAGAAATATGCAAGCAAACATACTGTACAAACTGTTTGGGACAGGTGTAAGCGGCAAACGTGTGTGCGCCTGATTAAAAAAAGTTCCTTTCTCTTGCTAAGCTGACCAGATTTTATGGGGAGACAAAGAAACAGAAAGGGGTGAAATGAGGGAGGGAGGGAGGTGTTGAGTCAGGCAGGCCTTAATGACTCTGAGTGTGTGTGTGTGTGTGTGTGTGTGTGTGTGTGTGTGTGTGTGTGTGTGTGTGTGTGTGTGTGTGTGTGTGTGTGTGTGTGTGTGTGAGGTGTGGTCTGTCATACTTGGGGATATCAAACCCACAGCTGCCACATAATAACTGGGACCATTAATGAGCTGGGTGCAGTGACCTTTAGAGCTACTGGTTTAAACTCTGCCACACTGTCCCAGCAGACCTGTTCCCGCCTCGGACTGAAGCTGTGAATTCTGCCTCTGCTGTTATTTCATCCATTTAAACAAATGATCATACTGGTGTGATGTCCCTTTGAAGGTTAGGTTCCCATGTTGTTACACTCTGATTTAAAACAATTCCAACACATAGTTACGTACATTGAACTTTTTCCAGAGTTTTATACTTTCATTGTTTTTCTTTGTGCTGGGAGTTCTTGAATAAGGAAACTGATTCTACCTGAGATTTTGTCTTGAGAACAAGTTTATTGTGAGAAACACATTTTAGAACCTAAAATTCCTTTGGAAATAAATGTTTAAGTTACAGTAAGATAAAGGTTGTTCTACTAGATGTGAAGAAGTGGGTACTTCAATTACACTGGATTACAACCAAGAAAAGAGCTGAAATGCCTTGGCTCTATTGCAATCCCCCCCCCGCCCCTAACGATCAGCTTAGAATCATTTATTTCATGATTATATACAGATTTATCTTCATGTAAGTGCAGCTAATGATCAACTCTTAGATGTTGGTTACAGCTCTATTCTTGCTTCTCAACTTGCTATTCAAACTGTTAACAAAGACCACAGAAAGAAAAGGACATCTTGGCTGTACGTCTTTCACTGACAACCATTGGCTACACAGTTAGCAGAAATGACTGATATTTTGCCATCTTGGATGCAGTGGAAGAAAGTCTAGAAGGCAAATTTGACATATCATTCCCTTTAACGTTTTTCATTGAACACAAATCCTACAGTTAGGGAGACATTATCAGCCAATTGGAGTCATGTTTCTGGTCACCTGACAAACTTGAATCCAAAATGTTAGTATGTGCTCTTTTAGCGCTGATTTTGGTCTGTACCACTACAAAGAAATGGTAGGTATGTTTTTTTTTTCGCTATTTGTGTCTTTTTGCGATTTGGTCGCTATCAGGTAATGTAGAGTGTCATTATAGAGCTGTATCACTGAAGAACAGCTGATGTGATGTTTGACAAATAGGGGGTGAGAGGCCTGAAAGGGAACAAAAACACCTAAGGGTCTGACAGCTAAACAATGTGCCAAAAACAAACTTTAAAAGCAAGGGGAGCTGCACGCTCAGGCGATAATTCTCTGTGGACACATCTCTATCAGCAACCCCCTTTGACAATGCCATTTGAAACATGTCTATGTCACATGTGTTGCTTTAAAAAAACATCTATTACACCCAATTAAAGCTAAATTAATCTTTTAGATTGTATTAGATTATTAGAAAAATGCAAGGACACAATCATGAAAACACAGATGTTTTCATTAAAAGCCCCTCACAAAAGAATGTGGAAATCTATGATAAAAATTCTTTCTTAAGTTCAGCAGAAACTGATAGGAGGATTTGGCAGACTGGGTTGGTAAATTCAAGAGGCTGTTTTACAATTTTGAGGTGTTTTTTTTAGCCAAAACCTGTGATTTCTGAGACATCATGAACAGCAGGAACATTTAATGTGTCCAATAACTCTTTCAATCTTAATATGAGCCTTTAAAGACTGTCAGACTTAAAAACATGAATTTCCCCACCTTTCAGCCCTCTGTTGTCTGTGAATCTGGGTTTTAATGAGCAGATGACTCACCTTCTTCTTGGCAGCCTTGGTCACGGAGGTCGTGACCACCACAACGCCCCACAGCACATAGAGTCTGAGGAGAGAGGGACAGAGGCTGAAAGAAGTGGCAGATATACAGGATTTGAAACATCAGCAGGTTAAAAGAGGCATTTCATAGATGACATAGTAGTTCCATGACCTAAACCTTTAGTTTCTATATGCTGTGCGGACTCACACAGTCTTTCATTATTCCCTGTCTTGTGTGGATCAACTTTCTTCAACCCTTTCTCCCTAAATTGTTGAGTGAACAACCTATCAAATGTTCCAGTGACCTAACTGTACATGAGCGACCACTTATCCCACTTGCTTTCCCATTACAGGTGGTGTATGGGCTCTTGGGAGGACGAACAAAAGTTTCTTTTTTCCCTTCAGGGTTCACAGACAAGCATCTCAATCAATCTGAGAAAGCCTGGGAGGCCTTAACAACTAATGGATTTTAACAGCAAGTACGTTTACCCTCCGCATGCCTCTCTCTGGGACCAAACACACCCTGAGGATGTGGTTTTAACACTCACACAAAAACCGCATTCGCAGGCACAATCAAACACAAAGTCATCTCGTATAGTTAGGGACTTTTTTTTATTTCATCTCTGATGTGGTTTATGGCGTTGAGTGCTGTCTTTCATTTTGGGATTGACTCCTTAAATTTAACATGAAACCACTTTGGGAAACATAAAACACAACCACGGAGTGTGCAGTGCAAACGCTGCAAAAAGTGTTTTCATCCTAACTCGGTGCTTAAAAGTGTTGTTTTTCCCTCTCAAGGTGAAAGATTTCAGATAAAAGGCCTTGTATTGAAGGAAATTTAAATTTTCTTGTGCAGTCTGTACTTGTTAATCTCGTAAATCTCTATAAAACCACCAAGACAAGTGCATATATAGGAAACAAGTGGAATATCATTTCTTCATCTGCCAAGAAAAATAGCATCAACAGGACTCTAAACACTCTGCTAAGATGGACATTTCAGCGCCCACCACGAGAACCAAACCATCACCACAACCATCAGTCCGCAGCCCACATGTAGCCAGAATAATTGCTGCCTTCTTCCCACTGTGGTGCACCGCCGTGGTCTCTGGAAGCTTCACCACACCAGTCTAAATAACTAGCCCGAAAAACACAGACAAAGGTCCCGCACAGTCCGACACAACAGAGCCGCTCAGGCCGAAGTAACGACCCCCTACCCGGGTCCACGTTTCCCCTGGCCGCTACAGTGGCACATTGTAGAATAAACTCAGAGCTGCGAGGACAGAGAGAGGAGAGGATAGAGAGAGCTAAGAGAAAACTCACTAAAACTGCCCTGGGGAGAGGGAGAGAGAAGGAACACTTCAAACCCAGATGCCGTCGGTTAAATTCCGATCATATATCTCGCATAGCGCTTTTGCGCAAGGAGAAAGCGTCGTGCGTAAAAGCCAAAAAGTTCGGGGGAAAAAAACTTTTTTGAAACTTCAGCAACCATACCAGCTGAAATGAAATAAGGATGCGAACATCCACATGTGTGTGTGTGTGTGTGTGTGTGTGTGTGTGTGTGTGTTGTGTTCAACCTAGGCTGAGAGAAGCAGCAGGTTGCAAGTCAGATTTTACCTGAATAGTAAACTGAGCCGCATGCTCCTCCAAGAAAAGTCTCCAACAACAAGTCTCCAACTCAGCTGCTATTCACCGCGATTGATTATCAGTCCAGTGTAGTGTTTGGTTTGTGGTCCGTTCCGGTCTGCGCAGTGCTGAAAGAAACGTGAAGTCTTGCTGAAGGATTCTTCAGCCTTACTCTCTCTCTCTCTCTCTCTCTCTCTGTCCCCTTCCTCCTGTCACAGTCACTCCCCGTGATTTTTGGAGAGTGGGAAGGGTTCCTTTTTTTTTTCTCTCCTTCTTTCAGTCCGTTCACTCGACAACTTTTTTTTTTTTGCTGGATCCTTATTATAAACTGGTGTGACGCCTGGCAGCCAGGGGGCCAAGGGGAGAGAGAGCGAAAGGGGGGAGACAGGAGACACAAAATGGACAGATTACACAACTCTCTCTCTTTTTCACATGCATACACTCCCACTGAAGCTCTCTCTCTCTCACACTCACACACACACACACACACACACACACACACACACACACACACACGCAACACTATAGGCCCTGACTAAGCTATAATAACTCTCAGAGCCGCTTTCCTTAGTTGCACAATCCAACATAAGAATGCTCCATTGTACTGGGTCACACTGATCAGTAGTAATGATCTGCTCATTGTCGGAAACAGTCCTGAGCTGGCAGCATCTGCAGCAGGGACACTTTGTTGGGGAAGTGCACGGCTTTATGGGGCTCACCATTGTGCCAATACAAACTGTAATTGTTCTGCAGCAAAGTGGGAAAGAGTTATTTTAAAATCTGTACCCCGTGAAATATGGCTGTGGTCTTAGTGGCAGCATGTTGTGTTGCAAAAGTTACATTTGAGTGTTACAGGGATAGTTCTGTTTTCTCAACAGTTAACCACTTTAAAAGAGCTCAGATAACTACACCCAAGAGAAATGACACTTCTGAACAGGAATTAGGAGTCTATGTGTGTACTATATATGTGTGTTAATGTGTTTGTGGAATCTTCTTCTTTGTGGTTTAAAGCAGATGTGAAAACTGTCGGGTGTAGTTGGTTTTTACCCACCATCTAATTCCAGTCGTTCAGTGCAGTTTTAGTCAGACCAAACACGGCCCACAGGGGACAGTTGGGGGTAAAAAGTGACACAGAGGTGGAAAAGGAAAACAGAAAAGTGTTTTCTTCCAGGATAAAGAGCTTCGTAGAGGCAGATGTGTTGTGTTTTAGCGGGAAGACTCATGGTGGAATGTAAACTAAGCATTTACAAACTGTCCTAAATCTGTTTCGTTTTCTTCTGTAATCAGAGTTTTTTTATTTTAAATGCAATATAGGCAAACAAGGAATCGTTCTCAGACTATTTGTCAGAAATGTTGTGTATTGATGTGTTAAAGTTCAACAACTTGTCTGGTTGATTGATTGTTTTGCTGTGCTGATTCCTCAACTCAGTTATAAGTGTAATAAAAAAAAATCGTAAATTTCAAGCTCTGAATATTTTGAGTAGAATAAACATTAGACTTTTTGGTTTTCGACTCTTTGTTGTGTTGCTTCAAATGTATGTTCTAAATTCTGGATCTGGTTTGTGTTAGGCAGTGGTGTCTTTGAACCCGGGAGGATTGGGCACAGTTGTGTGCATGACAACTAATAAAAAACATCATCTTCATTGAGAGGGGATGATTTGTGAAGACATGAGCAGAATACGATTAAAAAAAAAAGATGATTTTTAAATATATGATAGGGGGAAGGAGGGGCCGTAATGTGAAACTTAGGACTTTGTTTACTATGATCCTCTGTGAGATCCGATCTCAGCTCATCAACATAACAACACCGCCACAGTCGGTCGCTCTTATTGAGGGACTTTTCTGATCCTTCTTGAACCTTATTAACATTTCCCACCCTGAGCAGAGTCTGTGAGAGGAGAGGAGAGGAAAGGCCTGATGGTGGAAACGTGAGAGAGTGACTTGAGTGGAACAGAGAGTGGGCACGCAGTGAGTTACGGTCACACACAAATTAACACACACCCGGGGGTTTTGAGATGTCCCAGGGCCAGGCTGCTGCTTTTCTTGGACAGGCATCCTACAACATGGATGCATCGAGGATGACGGAGATTAGCGACTTCAAAAGGCAACAACTGAGGACTTAAACCACATAACAGAGCGGGTTTAAGATCTGATCTGTCAAAATAAAAAACTTAATGTATAAGGCGTACTGAGGATGACGAGGGTGGATTCCAGAGTTTGGTGCACATGCATAGACACAAATGCTTTCGCTCAGTGTGTGTGTATTTAGTGTGTGATTAGTGTAATGGATATCTCTGTACTTTTAAGCAGCATGTCTATCAGTAACTACAATTAGCCAGAGGTCATTGCCATGGCCACCAGTGGTCCGTGACCACTTATAGCCCTCTGCTCCCCTCCTCCCCCTTACTCTCTCTGTTTCTTTGGATCCCTGAGAAGCAATAACATAAGTGTTGGTCTGTCGGCATGCACCACCAACCACACAACCCTGATAAGCAAAATGTCAGTATCAACTAGTCGCCACAACACACAGAAGCCGTGGAGGTCCAAATGTAGCTGTTATTTGTCACGGTTGGCTGATCTGAGTAATGGCGTTGTATATCAGAGGAGCACGGCCTGTGGGAGTGATATATTACCCAAAATACTTCTTGCATGTACACACACCCTGCCTCCAGAAAACACAAACACACCCCAGCCTTGGGGCTCAGACACAGTAGGTGAAAAATCTCCTGAACAGTTAAATGAGGGCTCCAGGCTTCCGGCAGGGATCTGCAGAAGCCGACACAGAAGGGTCCCAGTGCTAAGACCTGTTTGATGTTTATCATTAACTATTTGAGACCACAGGCCAGCGTATCTCTTGTTTGTGTTAATCTGCTGTAGTAATCACATGATGAAAGCATAGATAAAACTCACTCACAGACAGAAAGAAGAGTCAGGGGTGAAACGTGTAGGAGGTGTTGTCATCTCGGAATGTCGATAAGGTTGTCATCTGGTTGTTCAGATACTTTGGTCCAGACTGAAATAACTCAACAACCCTGGGATTAAACTTGCAGCATTCTGTGGTCGCTCTTGAGCTCCAGAAGATGAAGGGAACATGCCTCTGAGATCCCCTCAATTTCCCTCTACAACCACCAGCACGTTTCAGTTTAGTTTTTTAATGAGTTTATAGTATTGTCGTACAATTTGTAAATGTCTTAATTCACTGTGTCCAGAGAATATACCCTATAATAATGTATGATTCCTTGAATTTGAATCTTGCACCAGCAGCTGGTCAAAGTTTTCACATATGCAGTAAAATGTCTCCACATCCACTGGATGGACTGGCGCAGTATTTGGTCCACACAATCATTGTTCCCAGAGGATAAAGCCAGAATTCTGGCTTGTCATCAAGCACCATCATCTTGTAAAAGTTTGATTTGGATGGTTTGGTTGGTATCTTTAGGCCCATAGCCCTCTGGGCTGGACATTGTGGACCCTAAGGGTCATGTGGTAGGTTTTTTATCTCATCAGTAGGGCATAAGTACTGGGGTGAGGGCAAAATAGAGTATGATGGGGGGTTTCTTTACTGATCACTTTTCCTTTTAATTAGGGCAAAAGTATCTTGTGTTTATTTTAAAAGACATTTGCTTCACTGTTATTTTTTTACTTGTACTAATCCCTATTTACAAATTCAACATTAAAAATGAAACATATGTAGGCATGAGACCAGGTTTTGGTGTTGGAAGGGTTCTGGTTCTTGTTTGCAACCGCTGTTGCAATTGTAGGAAAACAGTGTGTGGAGAGCCAAATGCGTGGAACGCAATCCGCCATCATTTGATAACACCGACTCCATTCTTGCTTCTTAAATTTTAAATCGGACCGCAAACAAAGACAACGTACAAGTTGGAAGGTGCTTGCCACTGGCTACGCGAGATTGTGTTTGAACAACTTGTGAAACTTTATATTTTTTCCCCCTCTCTGCTTGGAACCTGCCTGCCAGCAGGAATGGGATTAACAAATGAGCTTCCTTACCCATTACTGTCTTTCCTAAGTGGGTTCATAGAAACATTGCCAACTTTCTTTGAAGAAGCTTTACTACAGCTCTGGTCTTGTGGGAAAACTGCAGCTCACAACATAACTGGTGGGAACACCTGTAAAACCCAACTACAAATTATACAGATATCTGTAGTCCTGTAAATATGCATTGGCTAACTAGTTCTCAAGGATAGTTCTAAATTTAAGTTAAGAAGGGTTTTACATTTACAGATACATTTCTCTGTTTCTGTGTAGTCAGTCAGCTGGCTCTAGCACATCATAAAAGTGTGTGAGCACATGCCTTTCTGAATGTCTTCACACTTTGCCTGTGCATGTTTGAAGACTTACTGATGCAGAAGTATGTTTCAGACTTTAGGCAGAAGCATGTAGTTCTATATATTTAGCACATGAAGGTGTCACATATTGATTTGGACAGCATGAAATCCAAGCTAGCCATACATTGAGATGTAAAAAGCCATGGAATTATCTCAGAAGCGGCACCTTACTCAACTGACCCAACACACAGACAGAGCAGTAGAGAGGGGAGTGCAGGGAGCCTGACAGACGGGACACAAAGGGAGCGAGAAGAAAGGCCACAGCAGAAAGGGGATGAAAGGGAATGTGGGAGAAAGAGGTAATGGCAGATTAGACGGGAACTGAGAGAGTGTAAAGGAGAGTGAAAGAGAAGGAACGCAAAAAAGGGGGAGCGATTTGTCTGGCTCAGATGGAGTCAATATTTGCTCCATTCCACCGATCCTGTGCCAGGGTCCGGATCAAAGCAGGGCGTGTGTGCTGTGAAAACGGCTGACATCTTTACAGTCTGGTCTGGACGTGGCTGAGAAATACCTTCTCAATAAAAGCACTTTAGTCTGAAGTTCGGTGAAACTGTAAGCACGTTGATGTACTTCATGTCAGATGATCATTACTGAGAAGTAAGAAAAACGAAGGTTCAGAAAGGGTAAACTTGGGTGATAAGAGGATCGATGGGTGGAGCTTTCTAATGAGGAGTTACAGTCGTCACAGGCGAGACGAGGACATGTGAGGGAGCGAGAGAGGTCGGCTCAGTTGGACCCTAATTGGCTGACAAAACTGCTGAAATAACCTTGTTCCAATTATTCACACAAAGAGCAATTGTTGCCCATTCAGACGAGCCACTGGGCCAAAAATATACACAAAATAACAACAACAAACAACAGGGTTTATGTATGTATGAATGGGGTTGAATGGTATAGTTTGGCACATGGAAGACACATTTGGCACAGAAGACACTAAAATAATGGACAGAATTGAGCAATGCAGCTGGGTAATAAGTACTTTGGTATGTTTATGGTCAATTGGTTATACACTGCTG